TTTTTTTTTTTTTTTTTGAACAGCAAAGGTCTTTGTCAAGGGGATCCCCTATCCCCCTTCCTTTTTCTCATTGTTGTTGAATGTCTAAATGGCATTATCAATTCAACTGTTTCAAAAAGCCTATTTAATGGAGTTCAAGTGGGGTCTAGCAACATCACCATTTCACATCTACAATTTGCTGATGACACCATTTTATTTGGAGAAGCAAATCAGCAAAACATCAAAGTAGCCAAAAGCATAATAAGGACCTTCGAACTTACTTCAAGACTTAAGATCAACTACAACAAAAGTACTTTGATCGGAATTAATGTGGATGCAAAAGAGATAAATCATTTTGCATGCTTTCTACATTGCAAGCCTGGAAAACTCCCTTTGCAGTACTTGGGCATGTCAGTTGGCACATCTTTGAGGAGAAAGAGCACATGGTCAACACTGGTGGCAAATTTTGAAAGAAAACTAACTGGCTGGAATAACAGATTTCTATTTATGGGTAGTAGGATTGTTTTCATTAATTATGTGCTTTCTAGTCTTCCCGTGTTCCTAATGTCTGCTTACTTGATTCCTGTGGGTGTGATTAAGAGGATTGACTCAATTAGGTGGGCTTTTCTATGGGGGGGCTGTGAACTACCAAAAAAATAGCCTGGGTTGGGTGGGAGAAAATTTGCAAAAACAACAAGGATGAGGGGTTAGGCATTAAGGACCTTAGGAGATTTAATTTAGCTTTACTAGGGAAATGGTGGAATAGACTTACAGATGAGAGTGTGGGGTTATGGAAAAAAATCCTGAGTGCAAAATACAATAGGGAAGGACACAATTGGAGTAGCTGGATGAGGGAAGGCAGTAAGGGAGGGTCACGGTGGTGGAGAGACATTGGTAGTATAAATCAAGTATAAATCAAGTGTTATATGAGAAAATGGACTGGCTAAAAACTAGTTTCAAAATTAAATTAGGTGAAGGAAGAAATATATCCTTTTGGCATGATAAGTGGGCTAGAGATAATAGTTTGAAGGACTTGTTCCCCAAACTTTTTTCTTTGCCTACTGATAAATGCAATTCAATTCACCAAATGGGATATTGGATTGGGAATTCTTGGAGCTGGAATCCAAGATGGAGGAGGCAATTACATACATGGGAGGAAAGCCAGGTGGATGACCTACAGCACATATTAAACTCAAACAATCCAAAGAAGACAATGGAGGACAAATGGTGCTAGATACATGAAAAAGATGGTCACTATTCTGTTAGATCTGCTTACAGGTTGTTAACATCCAGTGAAGTCGAAGAAGGTTCAAAGACTCTAAATAAGTGCTGGAACCCAATAGTGCCAAACAAAGTTTGCACTTTTGCGTGGCTGCTGTTACAAGACCGTATACCAAGCAAAGCTAACTTGCTGAAGAGGAACGTCATCAAGGATGCTCTAGATGCAAGGTGCGTGTTCTGTGGGAATATAATTGAAGACACAAATCATTTAATGTTGCAGTGTGATTTCTCCTATAAAATTTGGACCCAGTGTTTTGAATGGTGGGGTATCCAGTATGTTCTGCACAACAATTGCAAGGCGATGTTCACCCAACACACATGGGCAGCAAAGAACAAAAAGGGATGGCATATTGTCTGGTATGCAATTATCTAGTCACTTTGGTTAGCAAGGAATATTGCAATTTTTGGTGAAGGCAAAATGACTACAGATTGTGTGCTCAAAATGATACAAAACCAATCCTATCTTTGGATAAGTGGAAACTCAAAAGGCTGGCCTTATTCCTTTCTTGACTAGTGCCAAAAACCAAGCAATTGCTTTATAACAAAACGATGTAAAAGGTGCTAGTTCACTAACAAATCCTTTTCCTATGTCTATCGGTTGAGTACCCCTTATACTCTTTTAATAAAATTATTTCCTTTGGCTTTTCAAAAAAAAAAAAAATATTTTTAACTACATCACTAGAGGACACTAAGGATAATAAAAGATAATACAAATTTTAAGTACAATACAAGTAATTATTAAATGTTAAAGCTGGTTTTTTTTTTTCTTAATGCACCAATCATTCAATCCTATCTTCCAAATCCTATAAACAGTGAATAAAATTAAACATGAATATCATTAAAATTGATTAGAAGCATTCATAATTAAGATTTAAAACTCTTCGATCAAATATCTAAGAATAATAAAATATCAAAACTAGTTCTATTATATAATTTTAAGACTTCTAGAATGATATTTCTTTAAAACTCAATTAGAAAAATTAGAATATCATTTTAGGAATAAATTAGAAATTTAGAATTAATGTTAGGGTGCACAATTAAAAAGAAAAAATAAATTAGAAAATATAAGAATGTTCTATTTTTATTTTTTAATTAAGTTAATGGAGTTATTATTTTGTAAAACAAGAAAAAGAAAATTTAAAATACTACAAAAAA